CTTGGAACGATAAACTCAAGCAGGACTAGAGGAGATAGTATTTGTATTCCTTGGATTCCTACCATCCGAAGCGGATCTGGATAATATGGGATTGTGCTATACTTGGAACGATAAACTCAAGCAGGACTAGAGGAGATAGTATTTGTATTCCTGGGGTTCCTACCATCCGAAGCGGATCTGGATGGTGGAAATAAAAATTTATAACGATCATTCTTCGGGATATCCTTGGCAAAACTGAGGCAGTCCAACTCTCACCTAGAGTGCAAGGGGTCGAGATTTAACTGCTTAAGAACAAAGTCATATGAGAGATAGTTCTTGCTAATATTACCCTGCAAGCTCCTTTCCAAATATTCCAATACTCCTGCATTGATTCACAGTCAGTCCTGAATGCCATACATTGGTATACTCCAATACCGGTCTTACGTAACCACTATAGATAGCTCGTAACTCCTCATTACTTAATCCAAACCGCTTCAGTGATCTGAGCGTTGACAAATTTCTACTTGATTTCGTTAAAAGATTTTCCAAGTAGGTGTTTCACATATCATTTTGAACTTATAAGCAAAGGACTTTGAATAAAAACTTTTTTTAAACAAAATGATACCACCGGCGAGGGTTAGAATGCTTCAAATTTCTAACACGATTTGCATGGTAAGATGTCTTGGCAGCTATAATTTCCCTTTTAACCAAATTGTAAGCTTACGCCAAAGAGGACATTTTGTAAAGAAATGCTGGCGTTCACGAATAAGCTGTTAAAGATTACGGAGGTGTTGGTTTGTTTAAAGGGGAAAACGAGTCCAATTACGGGCGCGAGCAAATTATAAAAGGCATTGGCTTTAGCCTGCGTACCCTTACACCTTAATTAAGACCTCATTCCAATCCTGGCCCTACACCCAAGACCCGAACGCACAAACACAGGAGTCAGGTAATGGACGTGAGTAACGGACCTTAAGCGACTTAGAGACGTCATTAAATTTCTTAGGATTCCGCAAAATACTACTACTATCTCTTTGACCTTTTGGTGAAGAAGGAACCGATCTATCATAAAAAACTATAAACAATATGATTGGTAATCACTAAATCATGGCATTGGCTGTGGCATAGAACGCTATTATCTGCGACGAATCATTTCCCCTCATGATGGGCCATACATTCTTTTTGATTAAAATCTCTTAAAATCATTGAAGCCAGCATCAGGATGTTTGGTCAATTGTCAATTGTCAGAATAGATGACATTCCAACAGCTGTTGATTAGGTGATTCGGGTGAGATGAACACCGCACAGATCTCAATTTCGAATGGCCCTCTGGGGAATTAGAAGGGGCACAACATAATCCAAATGCAGAGAAATATCGAAGGGCAGCGTAGCAGCCAAATGCACTTCAAACAAACGAACATAGGAATTAGGTACGGATGTGAGTAACGCACGTTAAGCAATCACTTTGACCTATTGGTGAAGAAGGAAGGAACTTCAATCCAAATGCACTTCGGTTCATCTAGCACGTTGATGTCATCGATGACAAGTGTTGATGTGCCACCTCATATAGACTGCCACACCACCACTGCGCCTTTGCACTCAGCGCTTTGAAAACATATTAATTAAACCCGGCAAAACAAACAAAGTCATCATTCGGTGAAAACCTCGACATCAACTTGACGTTCATTGTCGGTTCCACCTCCTCTAATTTATTCATCTGGGATTTGGCACTGGTTAAAAAGATTGACCATTGCCCGCTCTACTCTACTAAACATTTCTGGTCTTTTGATTGTAATTTATGTTTGCCTTTTCTTTTTCAAACATCGTTTCGGGTCAAAATCATAGGTCTAAAGTGGCAAGTTCCGCAGTCTGTGCCTACCGTTTGGATGAAATCGAGGCTCTGTTTCTCAATACGAGTAAATTCAGGGCGCAGTTTAGTGATGGCGAACTCTGGAGGGAAGTGGACCCAGATCCTGTGACTCCAATACCAGTTCAGGTTGAACTCAGATAAGAGTATTATTCATATCCAAATAAGCTGGACAGTATTAACCTAAATGAATATAGCGTGTGATCCACATTATTATTATATTATTTATTCATGCCATTTCTTTATCATCACATACAAGATGGCAAAGGAGATGCAACAGCAAAAACAATCACCGTGGCCAAAGACCTGCAATTCCTTATCAAATAACGGCAGCAAAAGGAGTAGTCCCATGGGCGTCACTTTGAGGGAGGGGGGGGAGTTGCAGACTTCATTACCAGCAAACTAAATAAAACCTTCATTAACAATGAATCTATGGAAAAGTGTAAATTCCGATTTTTTTCAAGCAAATCGGTGATCTACTTTTTTTCGTCCCAAGTTACTACCTGGCGCCATTTCAGTTTTGCCTTTCCCCATCATTTATGCTTCCCTTAAGGACATGGCAAATGTCTCCTTGTCTTCCCTGCAACTCCCAAGCATGCTGTAAAACAAGGGTTAAAGCTCACTCCCATATATGCTGCCAACTGAGGGTTGAAGTTCACTCCCGTGGAAGCTGTAAACCAAGGGTCAAAGTTCACATCCATGCATGCTGTAAACCGAGAGTTGAAATTCACTCCTACGCATGCTCTAAACTGAGGGTTAAAGTTCACACCCAAGCATGCTGTAAACCAAGGGCTGAA